ATGCCCCCTCTCGCTTCACCCCTCACCCCCCAAGTCCCTACATGCCCTCTCCTGTTTCACCCCTCCCCCAGTCCCTACATGCCCCCTCCTGTTTCACCCCTCCCCCAGTCCCTACATGACCCCGCTTGTTTCACTCCCTCCCTAGTCTCTGTACCTGAACCCCATGCCCATTCTCCACCCTGTGTCCCAATGTTACCCCCTCACTGACCGTAATGGAAGTTGCCCACATCTGGGTCATAAAAGTAAGAGACCTTCCTGGACATGGCGCGCCGGCCCGCAGCCCCGACTGCCACCCGCGCACGCACGTACTGCGTCACCACGCCCTGCGTCTGACGCAAGCCGCCGCGGCGCCCGCCCCGCCGAGGGGGCGGGGTCAGAATGACGGGCGGTTTCCGTGGTTACAGAGCCGCGTCTCCCCTGGCAACAGGGAGGCGACAGGGTTCAAGGGTCGGGTTCAGTCCCAGGGCGAACAAGGGATTGTGCTAACGTTGTGGTCAAGGCAAAGGACAGGGCAAAGGTTAGGAGTCAAATAAAAGGGCAATACAAAATTTAGAGGTCAATATGAGAATTCCCGAGAAGAGCCCAGGCCAAGGTTAGGGTCAAAGTTACATTCAGAGGTCAGTAATGTCAGGATGTATGGCTCAACTCTATATCCCTGTCTTAGGCCCGTTTCCCTTAATATCTTTGCTTAATAAATATGTATCAAATCAGATTTAAAATGAACAACTGATCCAGTATCCATTGCCATTTGTGAAATAGAGTTCTAAACCTCTACCACTCTTTGTGTGTAGAAGTGATTCCTAATATCTGTCCTTAATGGTCTGGTCTTAATTTTTAGATTGTGCCCCTATTTCTAGAATCCCCAACCAGTAGTAATAGTTTATCTTTATCTACCCTGCATTTTCCTGTTAATATCTTAAAGGCTTCAATTAGATAACTCCTTAACATTATAAAACCGAAAGAACTGCGGATGCTGTAAATCAGGAACAAAAACAAAGTTGCTGGAAAAGCTCAGCAGGTCTGGCAACCTCTGTGAAGGAATAAACAGAGTTAACGTTTCGGGTCCGGTGACCCTTGCTTTTCCAGCAACTTTGTTTTAACTCCTTAACATTCTTCAGCCTCCCTATCAACACAGTACATACCTCCCTAATGACATTAGTTCAAAGAGGCAGCTAACCACCTTCTTGAGGCTAACTGGGATCAGGCAATAACTCTCACATCTCATGAATTAATAACACTCCTCCCTTCCCATGGTGTACAGTTCAATAAAGCAGATCACCATCACCTTTTAAAGGAGCATTTAGGGATGGAAAACAAATGTCAGTCTTAACAAAAATGTCCAAATCCCATTGACAAATGTTATTAACCTCAGGATGTAAGGGACATTGAATCTAATTAGACTAACCTGAGTGAAGCTAGCTTGGTATAGTAGGACAATCAGGAAATGGAGAAAATACAGAGAAACTTATTTCCTCTGGCAAAGGTGGTGTGAGATGTGAACAAAGTAGCATAACCTTAAAATTAGAGGTAGGGCACTCAGGGAAGAAGTGTTTCTACACACTAAAGGAAGAAATCTGCAATCTCTTGACTACTAAGCTCCATTGAGGCTAAGGAAATTGAAAATTTCAAAACTGATTTTTGTTAGAGAGGATATTAATTGTCATTGTACTAAGTCAGATAGACAGTGGTTACAAGATAGATCAAAAATGATCTTACTGAATGATGCTAAAGGTTTGAGAGGCTAAATGACCTTATCCTGTCCCAGTGGCTCGTTGAGATATTTCAGTACCACACCAGCTCACAAACATCAATATATGTAGTAAAGTATCCCTAGGTCCTTCATAGGAGTAGGAATCAGATGCAGCATAACAGTGAGGCATGAATGGAGATACTGGGACAGATGAACAGAAGTATTGCTGCACAATTAGATGTTAAGGAACCTCTTGAAGGAGGACAGAGAGGTTTTTTTAATTCATTCAAGGGATAAGGGCATTGCTGGCTAGGTCAACATTTATTGCCCATCCCTACTTGCCCAGAGGGCAGTTGAGAGCCATGCACATTGCTATGGGTCTGCAGTCACATGTAGGCCTGACCAGGTAAGGATGGCAGTTTCCTTCCTTAAAGAACAGTAGTGAACCAGATGAGTTTCCCTGACAATCGGCAATGGTTTCATGGTAATCATTGAATGTTTATTTTCAGATTTTTATTGAATTCAAATTCCACCATCTGCCACGGTGTGATTTGAACCCAGGAATATTACCTGGGTCTCTGGTATAACAGTCCAGCAACACTACCACTAGGCTGCCATCTCTCCATAAAGGTTATTGGATAGAAAGATTACAGAGGGAATTTTAAGCGAAGGCAGGTTTAACAATTAAAATCTGGGATGTGTAAAGGGCCAGATGTGGAAGTCTGCAGGAAACTATGGCCTGTCACAGAGCTTTGAGTGGGTTTTAGACTGTGTGGAGGCTTTTGCTGTCGCTCTGGTTAGAATAGAGTCAGGCTCATGTCTTGTGTCAGAAGTTCCAATTACAACATTTAAAAGGCATCTGGATGAGTATGTGAATAGGAATGGTTTAGAGGAATATGGGCCAAATGCTGGCAAATGGAACTAGATTAATTTAGGATATTTGGTCAGCATAGACCAGTTGGAGTGAAGGGTCTGCTTCCATGGGGTATGATATTGCATGATTTGCAATCACTGCCCTTCAGGATCCAGTGGATCAACTTGCATGCTTCTGGCCAAAGACATTCAGGTACCCAAATATACAGGTATCCTCAGGCCCTTCTGCACTCTACATGCTGATATGCATTGGAACACCTGGCTCCTGGCTCAAAGTGTAGGTGAGACAGGTAAGCAGTGCGTGAGTGAGAGTCGTCCGTCTCAGCTCTACTGCAGCAGTGGAATGAGTGTTGAAAAATCCGACTATTCTGAAGGGAGTGAACAAGCTGAAGGTCACGGTTATAATGCAGCATGCCAGTGAGTGACTAGCGGGTCCAACCAATGCCGCACGAAGGTGCTAGAGCGGCGACTTCTAGATGCAGGATATGGAAATTAATGACCGAAAGATCAAAGCTAAGAGCTGGAATTGCGTTGGAACAGAATGCTGATGGAGAGAAGGAAGAAGGGGCAGAGCGGGACCAGAGAGGCGAGCAGACGCTTCCATCACCCTGCACACTCTATGTTCGTTTCTACTGCCTAACCTTAACAGAGGACAACTGATATCCTCCAATATCATCTGCTCAGATTCGCTGCGATGGTGCTGACGCAGTGGACGAATCTACTGCCTGCAATTTAACCCATTCAGGAGGCAAGTAACAGCATTGTGAGAGAGAACTGGGTTAATTAAGATGCAGTGGGTATGTGACACCAAGTTTGGGCTTTTAATACGTGGAGCTTGTCGGAGGTGGGACTGACGGAGTAAACAGATGTACATTTTTAGAATCCCAGAACGTACGAGATGCAATGACATTTGACGTCAACGTGAGAAAGCAGAGTAAACACAACAGGGTTTAGGTCCTCGGGATCCAGTCAAGGTTGGTGTTATTGCAAAGATTCATTGAATGACCTGAGCTCAATAGAAGAGATGCTGAATCTAATTTCAATGTTTTGCAGTGAACAGTTTGTATCTGTGTGTTGGTTTGAAAGCTTTCTACGTGCTGATGTTTTATTACTTCGAAACGATTCACAAAGATCTCGTGTCATTTTTTCCCCCTGCCAGGAATTTGCCGTACTTGTATAAGGTAGATTCACGGTCCTTCCCGATAACCATTTAAACAGGTGGCACACCGTTGTAAATTATAAATGTGCTTACTGAGATAAGAGAGGTGAGTGTCAGTAGCGGATCAGTTTCACTGTTGAGATCAAACGCGCGCCGGTCAGACTCAGCAATAAATGGAACCCGTTCCCATAAGGCGAAGTTGCCTGAATCAGTTTTGTTAAATGTCTTCCTGATCTTGGGTTATAATTTTTGTTCGTTTACAAAAAAAAAACAGAAATAGCCTGAGTTTATTTAACATCTTTTATCCCACCAGGACTTCCCAAAGCACTTTAACTCAGTGAAATACTTTTGAAGTGTTGTTTAGATCAAAGACCTTCGACAGTGTGAAAATGACTAGATTTTTTTGTTTGAATCCGTTTTGATAGTTTGATCCCATTTGCAACTAATTGAGGTAGATGAGCCTGTTCTTTTCTAATCATATCCAAAGTATACGTCGTCCAACATGCTGTGTACCCTCAGAACTAACCCTCCAACATGAAGCACTCTCTCAGAGCTGACCTTTCAGTAGTATAACACTCTCTCAGATCTGATCTTCCAACAGTGTATTGCTCCCTCAGATCTGATCTTCCAATAGTGCATTACTCCCACAATGTGACCTTCCAATGCTGTTGTGCTCCCTAGTATTGATCCTTCGAAACGCGTTGCTCCCTGACTACTGCCTCTCTGACGGTGTAGCACTCCTTCAGTACTGCCCCTCTGAGAGAGCAGCACTCTCTCAGTATTGCTCCTCTGACAGTGCAGCTTTCCCTCAGCTCTGCACCTGCAACACTGCAGGATTTCTTCAGCACTGCCCCTCCAAAAGTGCAGCTTTCGCTCAGCACTGCCCCTCCAAACTAACTCACGTTTTTGTTTCACAATGCTATGTTCAGTTCTGAGAACTGCACCTTAGGAAGGATATATGATCCTTGGAGAAGGCGCAGTGCTCAGTTCACCAGACTGATGGTGTTGAGAAACATATCAGCCATGTTTGATTGGTAGAGCAGACTCGATGGACTGAATGGCCAAATTCTGCTCCTATATCATATATCTTATGATATCAGGGCTAAAGGAGTTATACTTTAGGGACAGGTTACATAGGATAAAAACCAAAAGAACTGCTGGAAAAGTTGAAACAAAAACAGAAATTGCTGGAAAAGCTTGACAGGTCTGGCAGCATCTGTGAAGAGAAATCAAAGTCAACATTTCGGGTCATGTGACCCTTCCTCAGAGCAGAGGAAGGCTGGCTGGTGTTCTGTTACATGTACAAGATTAAGGAGTGATCCAGTTGCAGTGTTTAAAATGATTAAAGATTAAATATGGTAAAGAGAGAAAAGTATATTTACTCTGGCGGGGAATATATGACCTTAAAATTAGAGCTAGACCATTCATGACTAACGGCAGGAAACACATCTCCATAGAGACAGAAGCAGGAATCTGGAGTTTTTGTCGAACTTTGTTGTGGTTGTGGGTGAATTCAAACTATCCAGACGCGGATTGATGAATATTTTTGGGTAAGGATGTTGATAGATACAGAACAAAAGCAAATAAATGAAGTAGTAGGTAGACTTCTTATTATTTGAGTACGTCCAAGCTGAAAGTAAATTGACTCTTCACTATGCCCTGGGCAATTACGAATGGGGAATAAACACTAACCTAGCCGTCAGTGCCCACATCCCATGAACAAGAAAATGGTTCCACATTTTACACAAACTTTAGACTAAAGAATTTGATTATAAAGGCGGAAGGGTACATGTTGTTGTCCCCAATCTCTTGGCTATTTTCACTTGATCCCAAAGGTGAGTAGCATTCAAGATATCTGGTAGCTTGGCAGCTGCAGTGGATGTTCAGTACAGGGTCTTTCTCTGCTTTCACAGAATCACTGAACTGTTAAGGTGCAGAAGGAGGTCATTTGCCTACTGTGTCTGCTTTGGCTCCAAAAGCATTTTAACTTCATGCCAAGTCTCCTGTGTTTCCCTAGTACCCTGCATATTATTTCTACTTAAATAACAATCCAATGCCCTCTTCAATGCTTTAATTGAATCTGCTTCCACCACATGTTCAAGCAGTGCATTCCATTCCCTAACTACTTGCTGACTGATAAAGATTTTTTTCACCTTATATTTGCTTCTTTTGCAAAACACTTCAAAATTGTGCCCTCTGGTTTTGGATCTGTTTATGATCAGGAACAATTTCTCCCTGTCCACCACATCCAGACCTCTCATGAGTTTGAAAACTTCAATCAAATTTTGTCTTAGCCATTCCAAGGAAAATAGTGCCAACTTCTCCAACCATTTCTCTTAACTGAAGTGTTTTATCCCTGGAACCATTCTCATAAACCTCTCCTGCAGAGTCTCCAATGTATTCACATTGTTCCAATAGTGTGGCACACGCAACTGTGCACAATACTCCAGCTGAGGTCTAAGAAGTGTTTTATCCAAGTTCATCACAACCTCACTGATCTTGTACTCTCTGCCCCTGCTAATGAAGCCTAGAGTACACTGTGCTTTATCTACCGTTCTCTCTGCATGTCTTGCCACCTTTAATGACATATGTACATATACATCCAGTCAAAGTTCCCTCTCAGCTGTACAGTTCACACGTATTAACAGCCACTCAAATGTTTCACACACACACACTGATCTGTGTGGACATGCTGATTGTGCCATTGACTTCCAGGTCCAGAATTTGCTGCTGCATGTGGGGTTCGGAGGCCCACACAGCCATAAGAAAATTAGAGAGAACGCTGCTCTGTTCCTGCACACTCTTTAGAATATTACCCTTTATTTTATAACATGTTTTGCAGCTGTGTATTACCTCTTACTTCTTTCACCCTTTGCAGCAATCCACCAAAGCTGATTAGCGCCACTTATGCTACAATATTACTATGAGGCTAGGCAAGGCGAGAGACCCAAGGTAAGTCCAGGGATTGAGACAATGTTCTTAGCGTTATTCCACACTTTTAGCCAACTAAACTAATTAGCCACTTAAAATGAAGTTGATATGGATATCAGCCATGATTTAATTGTGGGGCAGAACAGGCTCTATGGGCTGAATGGGCTTGTCTGAATGTGCCTTTTTCAGAAACACGCCATTGCAGTAGTTCAAGCACCCGCTTACATCACATTGTCTCATGCAAAACTCCTCAAATTTGGAATCCCTAAGTTAAACTAATTTATTAGAATGTAAACTGACCAGTGATCTGTGGTAAGAACTGTTTTATCTTGGAAATATAAACTGACAATAATGGTGTGTGCCAGAGAACGCACTTTTTTTTTAACAACTCAAAGGTTAAACGTGAAACTGTGTGGTATTCATTTTTCGGTAAGACAGGTTATGTCACAGTTAGAGAAGCTGGATTTGATACTTTTTTGAGAAAAGCTGGCACCAGATGCCTCTGGTTTAATAATAAAACTGCCTAGCATCATCTTTTGGAGTTGAATTACAGTTTGTCACAGAAATGAGAGAGGGAAGTTGCAGCCAGACCTCCAAAGAGCTTGTAAGCTAGACTGGTCTCTCTCTGTCGCTCTGTCGCTCTCTCTCTCTCTCTCTCTCTCTGTTTACCCTCTGTGAGTGAAAAAGAAACTGGAACACTTGGAAAAGAAGAGCTTCTAACTGAAACAAAGACCTAGGTCTAACTGACCGGCTATCAATTTGAGGATCTTCTGCAGTTTACAACAATGTGACATCATCGCCAGAAAACAGAATAACTGTGAAAAGGTCCTCTCACATTCCCAGGTTACCACATTACTGTGGTTTGGACTCTTGATACACAGAAGTTTCACTTTGTTTTCTATCCATGATATTTCTGCAGAAACTGTCTGTCTCATCTGTCCCATTTATGAATGAATATGTGTGAATTTGGATTTAGAGAAGATATACTTTAAGTTTGCATCATGATAATCAATGATCCATTTCACCACTTGTGAAAGGATAAGTTTGTTTCTCATAAATAGGTTTTATTTTTCTGTTTATCAATGAGACCTGGTTGTGAATGTATTTTATTTTAGATAGTAACTAAACTCAAGCAAATTAGCCTCTTTAGTGATTCAATTGATCATTTATACTTTTCTGACACTATGTGGACTAGTGGGGGTTGATTAGCATCACTCTCTTCCCATGATGTCATTATGATATGAAAGTACTGCCAGTTACAATTCAAACCAGGATTTTTAGCTTACTACACTTGAAAGAAAATCAAGAAATTCCCATTTAAATATTCTTTGGTTTTATTTCTGTAGGAGAGTGTAGAAGATGGAGAATCATGGGGAAATTGAAGAGGTGACAGCTCATCCTCAGAACTTCTACACCATCTTGCTGCTGGTTCTGGTGTTCTTTGTGATGGGGCTAATGGGCGACCTACTTTGTCACATCTTGAAGGAGAAGGGCTATCGCTGCCGGACATCACAGGAGATGGACACAGAACAACAGGATACTGCTTCACCAGATGGTCAGTACCATTTAATAGGCCAGTTTTTTTTAGTTTCTTCCTTCGTTATTCCTGAAGAGGCTGATTTGCAGATGGGTCTCAGTGTAGAACAAAAACAGAAATTGCTGGAGAAACTCAGCAGGTCTGGCAGCACCCATGGAGAGAAAGCAGAGTCAACATTTCAGGTCCGGTGATCCTTCATCGGAACCTTGTTGTTTTGTTTCAGACTTCCAGCATCAACAGTTCTTGGTTTTGTTTTAGTGACATCAATGTAGATGTTGTTGTCTGTGTGCTTAGTTAGGGTTTCCATGCATACAAGGGTGTGACTTGCAAACAGAACTCCCAAGGTTATATGTCAGCATCTGTTATCCGTCATAGAAACACAGAAGATAGGAGCAGGAGTAGGCCATTCAACTCCTTGAGCCTGCTCTGCCATTCAACATGATTATGGCTGATCATCAAGCACAATACCCTAATCCCTCCCTCCCCATTATATTCCTTGATCCCTCACAACAACTATATCTACCTCCTTCTTGAAAACACAATGTTTGGCCTCAATTACTTTCTGTGTTGGTAAATTCCACAGGCTCACCACCCTCTGGGTGGAGTAATTTCTGCTCATCATAGTCCTAACAGCTTTTTCCCTTTTCCTTAAACTATGACCGTCTGGTTGCTAATTGTTCTCTCCATTACTGAATGATGGTATATCATTGGGTGGGGATATGGACAGACCTCACAAAGAAGGGGACACTGCCTTGAACATGTCACTGCCCTTGATGCACCATCTTCAGTAACATTTTTACCGATTGTTAGACAATCAGTTATCACTCAGTGGTTATTTCACTGTCTTCCGAGTCTGAAGATATGTTTTAAGGTTTGATACACGGGCATAAGCACATAATCTAGACTGGAACTCCTGGTGTCAGGACTGAGGGAATTGTACTCTAGTGGGAGCTGTACTGAGGAAACACTGCTTTGTTGAAGAGGCAATTCTGAGGGGGTACTACAATGTTGGAGGACAGTACTAAATGACCATGTGCTATCAGAGGGTCAGTACTGAGGGACAGCTGCACTGTCAGAGGGCCATACTGAATGAGAGCTGCATTGTCAATGGGCAGTACTGAGGGAGCACTGCACTGTCAGATGGTCAGTACTGAAGGAGTGCTACACTGTCTGAGGGAGAGTACTGAGGGAGGCTGCATTATAACACTGATTACATTTCATTGGCTGTTAACCATTTGGAATATCCTGAAAGGAACTCTAGAAATGCAAATTTTTAATTTCTCAAATACTTAGTCCAACGATCACCTTTGTTCACAGATGTTCAGGAGATTAGCAAATCGAACCAGGATACTGTTGGACAGATTGTGCAATGCATCATTGAAAATGAAGGTAAGCATCTTCAAAGGGGCAGAGATTCAGCTCCCGCTCTCAGACTCTTAACAGAACACATATAGTCGATGAACTATGACCCTGTCCGGGAGCTCACTCACAGAACTCAAATTTATTTTTGAATAGAATAAAACTTGCTCTATACTGTCTGCAGATACTTCCATATTAGGTATAGCATGTGTTACCTACAAAGTAATGCTCCCTCAAACAGAAAATGCTTGAGAAAAAAACTCAGCAGGTCGAGCAGTATCTGTGGAGAGAGAAACAGAGTTAAGATTCCAAGTTCAATTTGACTCTTCTTCAGCACTGCTCCCTCTACACTGTCCCCATGAAACACTCCCAGGGCAGGTATAGCATGGTTTAGATATAGAGTAAAACTCCTTCAAATCTGTCCTCAAACACTCCCAAGGCAGGCACAGCAATGGTTAGATATAGAGTAATGCTCTCTTCACACTGACCCATCAAACATACTGAGAACAGCAGCAGCTTGCAGTCATATAGGGAGTAAGCCTTTCCCTATACTGCTGCATCAAATACTCCCATGACATTGTAAAGCATGGACTAGATGCAGAATTAAGCTCCCTCTAAACTGACCTATCAAACATTCGCAGGGCAGGTTCAGAATAGGGTTAGATACAAAGTAGAGCTCCTTCTGCAATGCTGCACTACAGAGGAAGTGAACTTTAATGTGGTAATGGGGCATTTTCCAATGAGTTACATTTCTGGACTAATAATCCAGACGATTGAATCCCTCTGGGACAGTTTGAGAATTTGAATTCAGTTTTTAAAATCTGAAAATAAAAAGCTCATGGCTGTAAAAGTGACCATGGAGCTGTCAAATAGTCACTAAATCCATCAGGTTCACTAACATCCTTTTAGGACGGAGATCTGCTGTGGACCTATAAACTGTCCCACAGCATCATAAATGACTCTTAACTGCCTTCTGAAATGGCCAAGCAAATCCCTCACATATGTCAAACTCAGGGATGGTCAATAAATTCTATGTTTGTAATTTTAAGCCCAAGGCAAAAATTTGGGGTCATTTATAAACAGTTTTATTCTGTGAAGGGGATAATTGGATCTATTTGGGTCAAACCTGATCACTTACACCCAGTTTGGATTCTGCCAGGGTCACTCAGCTCCTGACCTCATTACAGCTTTGGTTCAAACATAGACGAAAGAGCTAAATTCCAGAGGTGAGGTGAGAGTGACTGTCCTTGACACCAAGGCTGCATTCAACTGAGTGGGACAAAAAGGAACACCAGCAAAACCGGAATCAATGGGAATCAGATGGAAAAATCTACAATGGTTGGAGTCATACCTGGAACAAAGGAAGATTGATGTAGTCACTCATCTCAGCTGCAGGAGTTCCTCACGGTAGTATCCTAAGCCCAACCACCTTCAGCTGCTTTATCAATGCCTTTCCCTCCATCATAAGGTCAGAAGTAGGAATGTTCATCGATGACTGCACATTGTTCAGCACCATTCATGACTTGACAGATTCTGAAGCAATCCATGTCCAAATGTAACAAGACCTGGACAATATCCAAGCTTGGGCTGAAAAGTAGCAAATAACATTTATGGCACAAAAGTGCCAAGCAATGACCATTTACAATAAGAGACAAGCTAAATGTCTCCATTGACATTTAATAATGTTATTAACATTGAATCCACCAGTATCAACATCCAGGGGACTACCAGAAACTCAACTGGACTAGCCATATAAACACAGTGGCTACAAGAGCAGGTCAGAGACTAAGAATCCTGCAGCAAGTAACTTAATACCTGACTTCCCAAAGCCTATCCCCCATCGACAAGGCCCAAGTCAGAAGTGTGATGGAATACTCCTCATTTGCCTGGATGGGTACAGCTCCACCAAACTCAAGAAGCTTGACACCATCCAAGAAAAAGCAGCCCAGTTGATTGGCATCACATCCATAAACAACCACTCCCTCCAACACAAGATTCACTGCACAAATTCACCACAGATGCTCAGACAGAACCCATGACCACTTCCATCTAGAAGGACAAGGGCAGCAGATACATGGGAATGCCATCACCTGCATGTTCCCCTCTAAGACTGTAAGAAATAGGAATGGGCATATTCTATACAGCCTCTCAAGTCTGCTCTGCTATTCAATAGGATCATAGATGATCTGACATTCCCATTGTCCACTTTCCAGCCCTGTCCCCGTAACCCTTGATTCTCCTGATCAAGAATATATCTCAACCCTAAATATAGAAGGACTGTACCCCCCTACCCCCGGTTCTCTGGGGCAAGAAGGTCCAAAGCCTCACAACCTTCTGAGAGAAGGAATTCCTCCGCATCTCAATCTTAAATTAGCATCCATTTATTCTGAGACAATGCCCTCTGGTCCTACACTCTTCTATGAGGGGAATATCCACTCAGCCTGTACCTGTCAAGCCCCTTAAGAATCCTATATGTTTCAATGAGATCGTCTCTCTTTCTTCTAAATTCCCATGAGTAGAGTGTTATTAAGTTGTGTACAGTATTAATGAATTGGAAGGCAGGAAGTTAGAATTTGTTGGTAAAAATGACTGGGGGCAAAAGAGTGCCGTGGTCCCCTTAAGAGCTTGTGCTTTGTCTGTGCTTGGAAGTTTATAAATGCAGGTGCACAGAGAGTGCCCGAATGGAAACATTTTGTACAGAACAACCAAGTAGCATTTTACCAGACAAAAAGTTTGAATTTGGCCAATTAATTTAAACCAAGCACCTAGATACAGAAAACCAACTGAATTTCAAACTGATGGTGTTGACAACCTGAAACCTATCATATTATAAGAATTTGATTATGTCATTACGGGTATATAAGACAAGGGCATTTGGAAAATCAGAGAGAGTCATCTGCCACTTGTCAAGAGTTAGCACCATTCAGCTCTCAGAGAATGCCCATCTAATTAATCAAAAGTACCATGGTATTTTAGCTTAAAGTCCTCATTGAAGAAATTATAGAGCTAAAACATCCCTGATAGCAGAATTAGCGGAAGAAAGGCGTCTGTGAAGAAAGCAGAGAAGATAGAATATTCCAGAAGGCAGTCCGTGAGAACTTGCAGAGCTTAAGCTTTAATTGTTGTTTTCTTATTAATTGGCTTTATTAAGTGGGACTGTGTTTATTTGAGCAATATTCCAGCAGAATTTAGACCAGTTAGGAAGTAGTTAATAGTCTAAAAGGGAATTGTCGGTTTGTTAGTAATTTTGTTAATTTAGTCATTGTTGGGTTAAATAAATAAATTGTTTCTTTTTACTGGTAAAGTGGAGATCAGGCATTTTCTTTCTTTTAACCACTCTTTTAATAGATAATGAGGGGACAGGCAAGCTTCTCTGGGTGTTTCGAGGATAATTATTAGAAGGGAATCTCTAATCCTGTCATGGAAGGTTGGAGCTTGTGTTTTGGTTTAACTATCAGAGAGGTTCAGCCATTTCCTCTCCATAACAAGAGATCAAAACTATCTAATCTTTGCTCATGAGACAACCCCTTTATATCGGGATCGTCTTAGCGACCCTTCTCTGAACTGCCTCCAACGAAATGATTATATTTCCTTAAATAAGGGCATCAAAACCACTCACAGTACTCCAAATGTGGTCTCACCAGCGCCTTGTACAGTTGCTGTGAGACTTCCCTACTCTTATACTCCAACCTCTTTGAAATAATTACCATAGAATCATAGAGTCATTGAGTTATACAGCACAGGAACAGACTCTTTGGTCCAACTTGTCCATGCTGAACAGATATCCCAATCTGACCAAGTCCCATTTGTCAGCATATGACCCATATCCCTCTAAACCCTTCCTATTTGTGTAGCCATCCAGATATTATAATTGTAACTGCCTCCACCATATAAGCACCACCCTCAAGTTCCTTTTAAATCTTTCCTCTCTCACCTTAAACCTATGCCCTCTAGTTTTGGACTCCTCCACCCTGGTAAAAAGACCTTGTCTATTCACCCTATCCATGCCCCTCATGATTTTATAAACTTTTATAAGTCACGCCTCAGTCTCTGACATGCCAAGGAGAAAAGCCTCAGCCTATGCAACCTCTTCCTATTGTTAACACCCTCCAATCCCGGCAACATCTTTGTAAATCTTTTCTGAACCCTTTCAAATTTAACACCTGTCCTATAGCAGTGAGACCAGAATTGAAAGCAGTATTTTAAAAGTGGTCTAACCAATGCAACATGACATCCCAACTCCTGTACTCAATGCACTGACCAATGAAGGCATGGTGCGCCAAACACCTTCTTCACCATCCTGTCTACCTGCGACTCCACTTTCAAGGAAATATGCACCTGCACTCCTAGGTCCCTTTGTTCGGCAACGCTCCCCAAGGCCCTACCATTAAGTGCATAAGTCCTGCCCTGATTTGCCTTACCAAAATGCAACACCTCACATTTATCTAAATTAAATTCCATCTGCCACTCCTTGGCCTATTGGCCCATCTGATCAAGGTCCCATTGTACTCTGAGATAACCTTCTTCACTGTCCACTCCACCACCAATTTTGGTGTCATCTGCAAACTTACTAATCATTCCTCTTATGTTCACATTCAAATCATTTACATAAATGATGAAAAGCAGTGGACCCTTCACACCACTGGTTGCTGGCCTCCAGTTTGGTAAACAACCTTCTACTGCTACTCTGTCTCCTACCTTCAAGCTAATTTTGTATCCAATTGGCTAGCTCCGTCAAATTAGTGAGACACGATTTCGCATGCACAAAGCCATGTTAACTAATCAGTCCTTGCTTTTCCAAATGTAGATAAATCCTGTCCCTCAGAATCCCTTCCAACAACTTGCCCACCACTGATGTCAGGCTCACTGGTCTACAGTTCCCTGACTTTTATTTATCACCTTTCTTAAATAATGGCACCACATTAGCCAACCTCCAGTCTTCTGGCACCTCACCTGTGGCTATTGATGATACAAATATCTCAGCAAGGAGCCCAGCAATCTCTTTCCTAGCTTTCCACAAAATTCTGGGA